GAACGCAGGCCACAACCACGGAAAGATTTGCCCCGTGCGCCGGCAATAGGCTTACAACTCTGCAGCAGCATGGAATCCCGAGCACAAGCTATTCAATTTGAAACCTGCCCGTGAAATTCCCGGAAGCTCAAGCTGAAGATCCGAGCACACCATAAACAAGCAACCGGCACTTGAAACCGACAGCATCCCTGCTTTGTCTCAGTTCGTGCAAACAAAACGGAAAGCATGTGGCATGCGAGACCACCCCTGCGCTTGATGAAACCCCACATCCTAAACTCCAAGCATAGCCTTCTTCCCAAAACCCAGAGCAAATTGTCAAACTGCATGCTATGTGTTCAGTCCCAGCTTGACAGAAGAGGAGCACCCGTGAACCCCAAGCCCAAAAGCAACAAAGCGGCCGAAGTCCCAAAGCAAGAAGAGTACGTAAAGTTACAGTAGCAGAAGTAGCAATGACAGTGGTTATCAAGACGACGAAAACAACATGGAAAGTGAAAATGAGCAAGCTTTGAATTTCCAGCCCGAAACCGCTACCCAAAAAGCAGCAACCTCGCAGAGCAACTTTTTCATAGTGTTTAACACTTCCAAATAGGTGACCTGGGGCTCAGCCCGCGGGGGTGGCGACAGCAGCGCCGTGGCATCGCAGCTGGCGACCGGGCGCATTTGGTTGATTTTTGGAAGTGCTTAAAGGTCTTAAAAGAGCCGAAAGGATCTTAAGCCTTCTAGAGGATCAAGGCTGTTGGGTTAAAGGGTTTTTGGCTTAAGTTCTTCTGGGCTTGTGAGAACCTTTGCAGGTTGATGGGGCCTTATAGGTGGCATAAACGGTCTCACTTCAATGGTAAGAAACGGCACATGGAAGTTTCAGAAAGAGGGGTTCACACAAAAGCACAAATAGTAGGATGCTTAGTATATTGTAAGACGCTGCCACGTTAAAGTTCAGACACAGGGTTCCCGGATTCCGGTGCGTTCGATGCTTGTAATATGGAAGACCAAGTAGATTAGGGTTTTGGAGGTTAGTATACTATAAAAAATTCCGTGAAGGACTCATGAGGAATAGCGCGAGTAGCGGTTCAGCCCCGTAGACCTTAGGTGTTGGAGACGGCGGATCTTTGCAGTTGCAGGTTTCAGTGTTTGGGAAGACAAGAAATCCGGCAGGGGTCAAGTTATTCGAGGGGTCCATTTAGAGCCACACCAAAGACTAGGACCCTCGCCATAAAACTCCCAAAACAGAGCACCCTAATCGTAAGAACCTCGCCAGGGTTCACAGGTTAGGAGTTGGTGGTCGGTTGCATACGGCTGCCCTGAACATCCGGTTTCCCGGGACTTGTTCTCTGATTGAGGCTATGTTAAGCATGCCTCCACAGAGATGCAAAAAAAAGACATGGGCATTAGGTCTCGGGTTGAAATAGAGGAAGACACTCTGATAAGAAGCAAAAGAACACAAGCGACAACAGCAGCCATCTTGTTCATGATGCAATAGATGCTGGTAACAGAGACGAGAACAGTGTTCCTGCCAAAAAGTTCATGTCCCACAACACAACAGCGAGAAAATTACAACAGCAAACGTAGAAACAGCAGCCAGTGGCCTTGCTTCATCGTTCTGTGTAATCTTAGTCTAGTTCAGTCTTAAGTCGGAACGAAGGTGTTGAGGTTGCAAAGAGCCTCCAAGGAAACTCCAGATCAAAGATAAACAAGGCACTTACATCCTGAACTTATCCAAAAATCTGCCTTCACAGCCGTGAAGACCTCGTGTGAGTTGGGGCTCCCCGACGCCACGCACACTGGATTCCTAGTCCGATTAGTGTTTGAGGTTTACCAGCTGGGACTTTAGAATTTAAGCGACTGAACCAAGATGACTGCAGTCACCCAGGCGAAGGTACAGGACATCCGTGCGACCGACTCGGCGTTTGCAGCAATCCGAACCCTGGCAATTTGTGGTTAGGGTTTAGGGTTTAGGGTTCCGAACCCTGGCAATTTGGGGCAAGTGGAGCGTGTGTTGGGGTTTAGTTTAGGGCCTGTTGGGAACATGTACAGAACACAATTCTCTGCTTGGCGATGCGAAGGGTGAACGTTTTTGACGGCTGCAGGATTTTGGGTATAAGGTTTGAGCATTGCAAGCTGTAGTACTAAAAAGGAGCCCAAGCCCTATTCTAAATACTAAGGCCCCTACATTATAGGTGCATAGAGGTCACCTGAGAGCCTGAAAGGGCCGGAAGCTGCCAAGACGTGTTATGCCGTCTCTGGCCCTAAGGCCCCCTCAACCCTTTCCGGGTTTAGGGTTCAGGGTATTGGGTTTAGGCTTCAGGGTTTAGGGTTCAGGGAGCAGGGTTTAGGGTTTAGGCGGCCGTCATGAACATCAACCTGCATAGAATCCTGGGTCGTACCCAGAACTGCCAGCCCAACACAACCCAAACGTAAGTCCAAGTATCAACCCTCTCCTTGCAATCCGGAATTCTGCAGACCTCCGGCCCCCACGTGCGATCCTGGTTCACCAAGCCTGACACCTAATCCCTAAACCCTAAACCTTAAACCTGATCCCTAAACCCACAACCCTAAGACTAAGAGCCTCAAACTGGAAATCCGTGACCTTGCCCAAACCCTCGGAGCCCCCGAGCTCCAAACTCAGAAATCATCGGTGGAATCTCTGCCTACTTCCTAAAGTCTAGCCCCCGAAAAGCCATTCAAACAAGCCCTTCTGAAATCCTCCGGGCGCCCCCGGCAAAAATTTTGTAGATATGTGAACAGAACTGCACAGTCCACAGAAGCCGATGAAGCCCTTAACGAGCAAGAGAACAGTGAGATGACAAGGATCTGATGGCTGTGTCGTCACCTGGGGCGCACCGGAGTCCCTTGGTGTGTTTTTCTTCTGGTTGGCGTGCGGGCCGTGCTGATTGTGATGATGATAAGGAGAAGAAGAGCGATAATAACAATGTAGTGACCCTAATGACAAACGTAAACAGACAATAGCGATAGAAATTCAGAATGGTGTTGGCGATGCGGGTGCGGCTACACGTAATCGACGTAATCATGCTCCCAACTTGACTCTGTCAATCCTCACGCTTCTCATCCCTCCCCACTATCTGCAGTATACTCAGAAGTTGCAAGTAGGTCTGGGGTCTTGGGTTGGCTTCCTTCCGTACAAGGCAAAGTTCATACCAAGTGCATACAGGGCTCCTTAGGATTACTGGCACTGGTCTAATTGGGGTGCTTGTTGTGGGATCCCTTCAATCCGAAAGGCTAAACGACAGTCCTTCGGGGTCAGCGGTGTTAATATTTCGGCTTTAGAAAACTACGCAGTTCTGAGGTGCGGAGGGGACTGCTCCGCTGTTCAGAAGAGCCTGACTCGAGTGCAGGACTGGAGCTATTTCCCTGAAGCTTAGCTAAACCCCAGAAGACGGAAAATGTAGCTTTAAAGAATAGGAAACCCTACCGACTAAGTGCAGGATTTCGGTTTCAGAGTTATGCCGGCTACTTCACTAGGGCCAGAAGAACCTGTAGCCGTAGTTTTGGTGATTCGGTCTCGAGATACAGGGTGTAATGGAGGCCCGTGCTCAGCATCACCTCCCTCCATGATACAGATTGTAATGGAGCCTTTGAGGGAAAAGGGCTAAAAGGTTTAAGGGCTGATGGTGCAGCATTGATGCACCACTTAAGAACCAGCATTGTTCGAGATTTCAGAAAGCAACCCTGAACATTTGGCGGCTCCTGTCATAAGCATCCCTCAGTAGCAGAAGCCGATCTTGAAATCGCTGCGACACCCCGTGAGAGACCCTCCTGCAGCTACGGGCTTAAACACCTTAGCCAAAGACAGAGAACTAACCCGAACCTTAAAATCCAAAGCCGAGACGATGAACTCTAAACCGCTAAGCCCTCCTGAACCCCTCGAATCCCAACAAATCCTAGCCCCTTACGCAGCCACCTACACCACCCGGTAAGTGCAAGCTACCACAACTCCCTAATGAAAACTGTTCCACATAGAGATAGATAGATGGATAGATAGATAGATACAGAAATAGATAGATAGACAGATAGATAGGTAGACAGATAGATAGATGGATTGATAGACAGATGGACAGATAGATAGGTTCGATTGATTGATTGATTGATTGATTGATTGATTGATGGGTTGATTGATAGTTAGATAGACAGATAGATGGATAGATAGATAGATAGATGGATAGATAGGTAGATTGATAGATAGATTTAATCGTGCGTTTTCTTAGTTTACTTATGTATTCAACCGGATGCTTGAACAAGCAACCATCACATGGTGTTGGAAGATCCGGGTAGCAAGTGCCTGCTGCGTAGGAGATCCGAGCATCGGAGGGCGCTTTCGCAGCGATCCTCGCGGACGGAGAGGCTCCCTGCTTGGAGGTTCAGGGGTAGTTTTTAGTAGGGTCATAAGTCCCCTAATATGGGTTATAAGTATAGTTACCCTACTTCCAACCCCCAATTATAACTACCCATGAACCCCAAGTGGGTCGTCAGGGAAGGGCTTTGAGAGGGGCCCTGGGGTTCTTTTACCCTTGAAACCCGAGCTTTTACGATCCCTCTACAGAGAAGTGCGTGCTGAGGAGTCCGATCTGACACTTCAAAAAGCAAAGCGACCCCAATATTTATTTTTGTATTTTATGTATGTATATATATATAT